CAGCCTGCCCTTTCCTGAATTATGTGACTCTACCACTTGCCACAATTTCTTTTTCCAAAGAAAAATTACCTATTTTTTTCTGAGCATAAAAATAATACATGTACATAGTGAGAACAAATTTTAATATACAGGACAGTTATAGGGGCAAAATGAACCATGGTGTCCCTTTTCAGGACCCTGCACATAACAAGTCCGTTGCTCCGTGGCTGGCAGTGTGAATACCATTTGAATGAGTGAGGAATGCGGGGTAATAAAGAGAAATAAAGAGCTACCACCACCTGGCTGTGTGGCCTTGGCGAAGCCGTTTAACCTCTCTGACGCTTTCCCCACCTGAAAAGTAAGGGGATGCCGTGATAGGTGATCTGAAGGGCCCCTCCAGGTCTTAAAATCTGCACTCTGTCCAGAGTCACTGTTCACCTGCTGTAACACGCATGGCTTCAGAAGCTTTGCACTTCATTGCATTGGGCTACAGTGACCTTGACATTGCCTGCAGCTGCCCAGAGCATGGATTAGGGAGGGTGCCTGTTTGTCTGAGATAAGACCAGGCTGGGAGGCATGCACTAACTGATGATAACACGCAGGGCTACCGCAGTCTAAGCCTGCAGGTAATTTTTAGAATTATACCACACCTTTGTCGGGAAATGCTTAGTCTCTTTGTGCCACCGATTATTTGGCATAGGAGGGAAAATCTCCACGCTCAGTAGCTAGTCTGTCCTGCTCAGCTAGATTTCACTTACAAATGTCAAACTCATATATTTGAGGATGTTGACACCTAATGCAACTGTCAAGGACACAAAGAATAAAAATGCCTTCTCTTAGCCACTTCTTCTAGAGCAAGTGTCTTTCCATCTATATGCTTTTTCTTTTTCTTTTCTTCTTTTTTTTTTAATTCGCTTTAACTATGGAAGTATCTGTAGTTTGCTCAAGAAGACAGCAACTTTATTTTTATTTCTGCTTTGCTCTTGCAGATTTAGTCTGAAGAATGGCTGTGAAAGATCTGGGAAAATCTAGACGCTGGCAGCGAGAGGGCTGCAGAATATGATGTGCTTGGCATTTGCACACCATAGGAACAAGCCTTATAAATATGGATGTGCATTCCTGGAGCATCATTCTCCAGCATTCCATAGTACAGCAAAATGGTCCTATTTGAGTGAATAAAATATAGTTCCTTTTAGCTCACATTCCAGGCTTAACAGTAACTCCATTCACGGCTACCAGCAACGTGGAGTGTCGGTATAGGCGCGAGCTTCCCCTCTCCCCTCTGACTGTAATTGCAGTGTGTAAAGAAACAGCCCCCGCATATTGAAAAAAAAGTGTTAGTTTATCTCTCTGAAAACTTAAGGGCCAGCTCATCTTAACAGTCTGGCTTTCAGTGATTGTTTATATTCTAGTTCCTCGCAGGGCAATGCCTGAACAGTGGGCGGAATTAAAGTAACAAAAGCCGCATTTATCTACGTATTCAAATCACATGACACCTGAGATTGCCAGATAGGTCTCAGCAGTAACCTCTGAACTGTCCATAAACTGCACAAAATGTGACAAGGGCCCAGTCCTTCCAGTCAGCCGAAGGAAGCGTGCACAGGAGGAACCACAGGGAGATGGCAGGTGCAAGGCCTCGTCCCCGAGGCCCTGTCCTTGCGTGCCTGAGGATCAGTCACCACGGCCTTGGACCCTGAGTCCTGCCCTGGCCCTAGTCCACCGTCTCCTCCCGACAGCCGCAGGGCGTGTCTGTGAGACAGCCCCTTGTCTGGACAGAGACCGTAGCCCTACTCCTAACCAAGGCTGCCGTTCCCCTCCTCCGTCTCACTGCCTCCACCCAGGTTCCCCAGACCCCAGCCAGAGCTGATTTCTTCTGGGGTGGGGGGCGGGATTTCAGAAGGGGTGCGGGTTTCAAGCCAGCTGCTTTACTAAGACGCACATTTTCAGTCCAGCAGGCAAAGGCATTGTGTTTCTTTTGCCGGGAAGAACATATCTGTGACACACATCAGCCCTCTGATAGACAGACACACATTCTCATCCCCTCGCTCCCTTTTCCTCTCCTCCTCCCTCTGCCCTTCCACGTCCCCCCAGCTGGTGTCACTGCAGGTGGCCCCTGTGTATTTCCTCTGTCCCCTGCACCTTCCACTCAATTTGCCTCTTTTCTTTAATTCTCTTCATTTCTTTTTTTTTTTTTTTTTTGAGACAGAGTCTCACTCTCTTGCCTGGGGCGAGTGCCGTGGCGTCAGCCTAGCTCACAGCAACCTCAAACTCCTGGGCTCAAGCGATCCTCCTGCCTCAGCCTCCCGAGCAGCTGGGACCACAGGCATGCGCCACCATGCCCGGCTAATTTTTTCTACATATATTTTTAGCTGTCCAATTAATTTCTTTCCATTTTTTGGTAGAGACGGGGTCTCGCTCTTGCTCAGGCTGGTCTCGAACTCCTGAGCTCAGAACGATCCGCCCGCCTCGGCCTCCCAGAGTGCTAGGATTACAGGCGTGAGCCACTGCGCCCGGCCTTCGACTTCATTTCTTAATGTTACTCTTTCTATTTTCCGTCTTTGTCCAAGTACCTACCTTATTTTCTCTGTTTTTATTCCATTCATTTATTTATTTTTCTTCCTACGTTTTCTTTTCTTTTCCATTTGTAGTCACCAGTCACCCCATCTTTGGACTTTATTTCAACCTAGACTGTGATTATTTTGCCATATTCTTTTTTGTTGTTTAAGCATCGGGATGGACCAACATAAGTATTCTATGAAGGGCCTGAATGAAATAAAATATCACTGTATCCATTCTTTTTTGTGATGGTGGCAAAAATGCTAGCTAAATGGCACTAGAGTGTTAGGACATGTTCTCCCTGGAAGCTCATTTAGGAATTACCATCTCAGTCATCGGGGAGCATCGGTAACCCACGGGCCTTGCCAACACGTCCCAATCCAGGGATTTAGGACAATTTCTAGCCCTTGGCCAACACTCCTGGAGAAGGCTAGGCTGGGAGCACACAGAAACCATTCCCACCTCTTCTGCCCAGGTTCCCACCCCTCCCCAAAGGCTGCAGAGTGACACGGGCCTGTGACCTTGTTCCTTCATGTCTTCTTGTCTCACTCCATCCATCGGCTGTTCCCACTGCGCCTGCTGACTGATGTGCTTAGAGTAGACAACTAACTGCTGCTGCTTCCTGCTGCACTTGTTTTTAGAAGACACCCTTTTTCAGCCTTCTCCTCCCCGCAACCCTTTTCGGCTGCTGCAGCTGGACTGCCCTGGCTGAATGCGAGCTTTCGTGCACTCCTTTCCCGTGGGGCCGGGGCGGCCAGGCCGAGGCCGAAATGCCAGCGGACCAAATAGAAGCCCTTGACTTGCTGTGCTCCTGACCTGGCATGCTGGGGTCCCCGGGGGTGTGGGGAGGGGCTTCTTGGGCTCATCTCTGTCACATCTCTGCAGTCTCACTGCCCAGTCTGCAAGGCTGAGGGGGAGCTGGGCAAGGTGGGTGGATTTGGTACCCTTGAGTTCAAAGGGAGAGGAGGTGTTTCCCTGAAGGATTAAAAATGCTGCATCGTTTCTTCATTTCTGCCCGTCAGAAGGAAGTATGGTGCCAAATTTATGAGAACCAGTGGAGTGCAACGAAAATGACGCTGAACGTGATTTTACGTGACCTGCGTTCAGATTCCTTTTGGGCCACTCATTCTTTTCATAAGCTTGGGTCAGTCACCGCTCCCCGCTGGACCTCTCACTTTTTTTGCAAAGTGAGGGCTTTGGAGTAGGTGATTGCTAAGGCTCTTTGCAGCTCTGTGGGACTAAATATTAGCCAGATTAAAGATAAACATTAGAGAATGCATTTTTTGAGGCATATAAGGACTATGAAACCCAGGATCTAGAGCTGCGGTTCTCAGCTGGGGGCAGTTTTACCCCCAAGGGGACATTGGGCAACTTTTGGAGACGTTTTTTTCTTTTCTAATCTGGCATTTCTCTAATTCGAAATACTATTTCTCTTTCTAATTTCTGCCCCATTTTCCCCTCCCTTCTCCCTCTCCTCTTAGCTACCACCCACCACTAATCAGTCCTTTCTTGGCCCTCGTCCCCACTTGGTTCCTTCGGTCCCCTCTTTCACAGTTGGGTAGCTGCAGCAAGGCGAAGAGAAGTCCGGATTGTTCCTATGCCTCACATGATTTCAGCATTAATTATGGAAAGATTCGCTGGCCCCGGGACCTTCTTCACCTTGGCAGTGACCCGGTGTTCCGGTGTGGGGTCTCCAGCTAGGGGCTGGTGAGGAAGGTTGCAGAAGTACAAACATTACTGGAGAGTTCTCTTGCACTAACCCTAAGGGTCTTGATTTCCCCCAGGGTTTCCTACATTTCATGTGACTGTTTTCTATACAATTTTTTGTACTTTTAAAAGAATTTTCATATAAATAAATGTGTAGGTGAATCAAAAAAATTTTTCATAACGTATCCCAACTTTTGGTTCAGAAATGTGGTCTCTGTACCCACTGGAAAATGTTGACGTCTCCATAAAAGAGATGGCTGCATGAGAAAGCTCATGGCTAGAAGGTGGGAAAGAAAAAGAAAAGAAGGTGGAAAACCAGTTCACTTATTCCAGGCCGGCATCGTGGTTTCCTGGCCTGGTGCTGAGTGTAGAAATCAGCTGTGCACAGACTATGCCCCAGTGCTTACCAGCTATGCCGGGGAACCTGGTTGTGGCCGTTGAGAACTGCTTCACCGCTTCAGACTGCCTTCCTTCTGTTTCTCTCCAGCAACAGTTGGGCAAGAATATCAAGTTTGGGCAGCGGCTGCCCAACGCCATTCCCATGAAGAAGGCAGGCAGTGGAGAGGCCAGCTTAGAAGAGGATCTGTTCCCGACCAGTCCCATGGAAATTGTGACTCAGCAGGACATCGTCCTCTCAGACACTGAGAACAAAGTAAGTCTCCTCCAGGGAATGACTGCGTTGCTAACAAGCCAGGGCAGGATGTTGGGCATCTGTAACCCTGGGGTCTGTAGTGCGGGGATAAGGTGGGAGGAGGCCAGAGGGCACTTCCTGGGCAGGTGCCCTCACCTGGAGACGACGAGGAGGAAGGGGAGGAAGGAGAGGAAGAGGAGACATGCCCTTTGCACATGCTCTTCCCAGTGCCTTCCACTCACCCTTCAAGGCTTCTGCCCACCTCTTCTGGGAAGCCCTCCCTGGCCTCACCCCAAGCTGTGTTATCTCCTCTGTGCCTGCACTGTGTGTCTTCACTGCTGTCCACACACCATACCCCATCTCTATGTCCACGTAGCTGCTTGCTCTCCACCTCTAAAGGCCGAGTTTCTGGAGGACAAACTGGATCTTACACACCTGTGTCTCCCTAGGACTTAGCTACTGCCTGTTTTGTTGGACTAATTTAAAGGGAAATGAAATCAGAAAGCAGCAGGGGCTTAGTGAGACAGAACACATCAAACAGGCCGGCTTAGAGAGTACTGAGCTGGGAATAAAGTCACATTCCAGCACTGTCCCATCTAAGTTTGGCCTCTTGACACCTTAAAGGAAACACCTTGAGCATATCCTGAAGAGAGTTCTTCCAAAGCAGCAGAAAGGATCCCCCTTAGACCTCTTACGGAAAAAGGTGCAAAAGTCTAGCAGCGAGAGTGAGGAATTCGCTAGATGAGGTACTGGGGGCTTCCAATCTCAAAACAGAACAAAAAACCATTCTCTCGGCTCTGCCTAGCAAAGTGGCTGAAATTTTGTTGGTTATTATTAAAATGAGCATACCTTAGAAGAAATCATGTGCTATTAGCCAACATGTCATAAAAGTAGTAAGAAAGATAAGCAAGCCGGGTGTGGTGTCTCATGCTTGTAATCCTAGCGCTCTGGGAGGCTGAGGCGGGAGGATCACTTGAGGTCAGGAGTTCGAGACCAGCCTGAGTAAGAGTGAGACACTGTCTGCACCAAAAATAGAAAAATTAGCCAGGTGTGGTGGCACGTACCTGAGTAGCCCCAGTTACTCGGGAGGCTGGGGCAAGAGGATCGCTTGAGCCCAGGAGTTTGAGGCTGCAGTGAGCTATGACGACGCCACGGCACTCTAGCCTGGGCGACAGAGCGAGACTCTGTCTCAAAAAGAAAAAAAAGACAAGCAGTTTGCAGAGGATCGTGAGGCAGAGAAGTGAAGAAGGATGGGCCTCCCTGCTGCCCATCTCTGCCTAGGGCCTGGCCCTGGTGACTCCTGGCACCCACACGTTGACGCCCTTTGTGAGGTGGGCGAAGCAGGATGGGGCCCACCCCTCCCAGCAGGTCTGAAATTGCCCTCCCAGCCTCTCCAGCGCTCGGCAGCAGCGACGGCCATGGCCGTGGCGCAGGGATTTCCTGAGGACCGAAGCAAGAGTCTTCGCTGTTCCTGATGATCTCATAAGTGCAGGGCCTGGGGGCAGGAGGAGGATTGTGTGTTCAGCGGGCCTGTCTCCCACGTGCAAGGTTAGGCAAGGGCCCCACCTCTGTGCAGTTTGCATCCCCCGCAACAAACAGGTCAACAGGTAGATACGCAGCATCAGTTCGGATCAGGAAAAGCGCTGGCTGCACAGAAAATAAAACAGGGTGATGGAAAAGTGAGTAACTTGGGGGTCCAGCGGCCGCTTATGTAGATAAGGATTGTGGCCAGACCTGGTGGGGGTGAGGGGACGCGGAGTGAGGTGTGGGGCCGCATGGTGCAGACCCTGGGAAGGCGTGAATTCTCTTTTGAAGGTAATAGGAGGCCTCTGAGTAATTTCCAGCAGAGCAGTGACATGATCTGGTTTGTGTTTTCCAAAGACCCTTCTGAGTGTGCGGTGTGGAGAATGGAGTGAGGGAGGGCGAGCGGACATGGTCACCCTGGAAGGGAAGATAAGGCCCTTTTATAGAAAGTGGTGACACAGGATGGTAGGTATAGCGGCCACCAGAGGTGCAGGCGACCCCTGGGGGTGTCCTAGGGCATGCCCGGGACACTGGGTGTGAATTCTCAGCTGTTTGCTTCTCATTCCCTCCTGTGATTTTTGGCCACTCCCTGGCTTTCACCTTCTCAGCCCCGCCCTTGGTGTGCGGCATCGGTAGGGCCTTCTTTTCTTCTCTCCCCCTGAGAGAGGGGAGAGGTCTGCCGGGTGGAGGGCAGAGGCAGCCCGCGAGGCCGGGGGCTCTGAGGCTGAGGCTGCGTAGGTGACACAGGCCTGCCTCTCGGGGAAGGCAGCTGGTGATCAGCACCGGGGCTGCTCCCAGGCAGTGGACAAAACCCCAGGGACGGAGTTGGAACCGCCCAGGTGAGACACGCAGTGAACTCGGGGAAGAGGATGGTGCACCCTCTGTGCCCTAGGTAGCCCTTGTGGACTCGGGACATTAGCAAAGCCCCGCCATGACTCCTGCTGGCTCTCTGAGGCCAGCTGCACCTGTGTGGAGGAGGGGACAGGACTGTCCAGGCACAGACAGTGTCTGGTTATCTGCCCAGAACTTCCTGTTCTGGCATCTGACTTGAGTGCTCTCTCTACTGTTCCAGTCCAGTGACACGCCAAGTTCTCTGAGTCCTCTGAATCTCCCTGCAGCTGGAAGTGAGATGGAAGAGAAGGTAATATGATATGAACTTATTTACTTAGCTTCCTTACTTTAACTTCCTTTTTTTTTTTTTTTTTGGCAATCTGCTGCCTCATTTTCCCTTCATAAATGTCGCCTTCGTATATTGCTTGAAATTCCTTCCAAATGCAACCAGTGGTAGATGTTGGAGCATCTGTTTCCATAGCAAGGCAACTGCTGAAACTGAACGCCGCTCTGAAAAACAGCCACACTCCCAGTATACCTGTGTTTGGGGTCTTGGAAGTTGGTAGCTTTCCTAAATGTATCACGTACTTCAAGACACTATTAATCCATTGAAAAAGGTATTCTAGAATACTTGTACCCAAGTCTCCAAGGAAATGAGTCCTTATATTTAAAGATGCAAAAATCAAAAACCTTAGCATTTTAAGGGTTTTGTTTTGTTTTGAAAACTTTTCTGTGTCCTTTTAAACCTGGGACTTAACCTGCAGGAGTCTAGGAAACCCTGTGGACTCCGCTCCCTGTGCACCTGTGCTGTTAGGAGCCGATGTGCTCTGATGAGGACTTTTCAGTTGCACGGGGGCGTGCAGTGAGCAGGCTCTGCTCCTGAAAAAGGGGGTGGCTCACGACAGTGCCAACGCCCTGGCAATGAGGAGTCCCAGCTGGGACAACTAGAAACGAAGCATCGCACTTAAATCTCCGCTTCAAGTGCTTACCGATGTCTGCAGTCTGTCCCATTGGCTCTGACTCCTTTTCCTCAGGCATCTATTAGAGGATGGAAATAAATGTTTAATTCATCTCTTTTCAACAATAGCTCAGAATTTGATACCTCTTAGAAAGATAATAACCATAAATAAATGAAAGCTAGAAGGCCGAAGGTTGGAATTATTTTTCTGTGTTTCCATGCTTCTGGTCAGAAATTAATATGTACTGGCCATCCATTTTGCTCTTGGCGCTAGCTTGGTCTTTTATCTTTTGTGTATAAATGTGGGAGGTAATCGCAACAAGCAGGCCCTTCGGCTAAACATCACAGACTCTACATTTACAGCAGGCACACAAACAGACGAACCCCGGCCTCGGCAGAGCTGCGGGCAGAGGCAGCCGGAGCTGTGAGTGCCCCTGGCCACGCTTTGCATTATGTGGCCAAGCGCTCTTTGCTCGCTGATGGCTGGTGGATTCTCTGTGGTTACCTGCGTGGCCTCCTACCTTCTGATTCAGTGTGGCTTCTGGGCTCACGCTGTGCCACGGTCTCTCTGACCTTTTTAAACCCTACACAATTCATCTGAGATTGTGGTTTTTCAGTGATTGCATCTGTATTCCAGAGCCGCAGGCCGTTCTGCAGTTCATCCTTTGAGGAGATGCACTTGCTCTTGTGGCAGGTTTCTGTCACTCCTTTTTGCACCAAGGTCCTCTTCCTTTTAAAAGCTCCTCGTGCCCTCAGTGCTCTGTGACTTTGGAGTGATTGCGCCAAAACACTTTTGCTAATCAGGAACTTGAAGCCCTAGGCATAGATGCTTATATTTTATTGTTCCTTCCTTCCTTCCACAAATATTTACTGAGCACTGACTAAATGAGATTTGCTACTTGGGCATAAAGGGATGGATATAAAGATGAAAGACACAGTCCCTGCTTGGAAGGGACTAAAATTCTGTGTAGGAGCTGAGGCATGTATGCACAGTGAGGCTTAGAGATGATCTAGTCCAAGGGTGAGCAAACTACTAACTATTTTAGGATTCGTGACCGAGGATTTGCAACTGCGCAACTACATGACTCTTCTTTGCGTTACTCTTCCTTTTTGGCCAAAAAGCAACCAAAGACAATGGGGGTGGCTGTGTGCTGGTAAAACTCTATTTTCCAAAACAGGCTACTGGCAGGATTTGGCCTCCTGGCTATGTTTTGCTGCCCCCTGAGCTACTCTAACCCCCGTATTATTCAATGTAGGAAGATGAGTCTCTGAAAGGTTAATACAAATAGTCACTGGCAGAACAAGTAGTCAACATCATGTCTTTTGATCACAAAACCGTTTCAGTACTGAAACGAGCAGCACTGTGCCTGTTTCACTGCACTCAAGGAGCCCCCGCCCTGCGCGCCAGCATCCCCTGAGCCAGGCTGGGCGAGGCACAGACTCCAACCAGTGCTACCATTCTGGGTTGCCCGCAGGCTGTCTTCTGATCCGGACTGATTTTCTATTTTAATCTCCCCAATAGGTTGCTCCAGTTAAACCGTCTCGGCCAAAAAGGCACTTCTCTTCTGCTGGCACCATCGAAAGTGTCAACCTAGATGCCATCCCCCTGGCCATCGCTCGCCTGGACAACAGTGCTGCCAAGCACAAACTGGCCGTTAAGCCAAAAAACCAGAGGGTGTCAAAGAAGCACAGGCGGCTTGCCCGGGTGCGTAGAGCCTGCCGGGGCTGAGCAGGCAGGTGCCCTTGCTGGCCAGGCAGTAACTCTGCCAAGTGGGTTGGCGTTGGGGTGGAGCCATGGAATGATCTAGGTGTCTCTCCATCGGGAACTTGAGTGTGTGGCAGCGTACAAGGACAAGCAGGCCTGCTTTCTTTCCACGGCCCTTTCTGACGTGAGGCTGGTGGACCTCAGAGGGAAAGGCTGCCTTTCGAGGGGCTCCATACGCTTTGAGTTTGCTCTGCAGCAGAAAGGTGACAGCCTTCTTTTGCCGTGGCTTAGCGAAAGGTCCCTCAGTTTGGTTAGGGTGGGCTTCTAAGTCACAAACTTCAGGGAATGTTGAAGAAGTCCCAATCTCTCTTTTTAATGCTGGACTATTGTTCATTCGTATTAAGAAAAGGGGATTTGGGAATGACAAAGGGGCAGCAGGTAAATCACATAGATGAAGTTCTTTCCTCCGTTCCCACATTTGAGCCCTCATGCCTGTGTGACCGATGTCTGAGCTTACCTATACCTGTACATGAGACCACCTGCTTCCCAAGTGTTTGGCGATGAAGAGGGCCACCGACATTGTGAATAGGAAGGGTAACGGTTGTCTGCAGAAAAAGGAAGAGGCTAATTCTGTTTCCCTTCCCAATGACAGGACCGACAAAATGAGCAAGGTGGCCTTGAGAGTCAGCCCTCCCTGGACCAGAACGGACACCTGGGAGAAGACAAGCAAATGCGGCATGAGGAGGAACCAGAGCCCCTGGATTCCGAAGAAGAGAGAAGACGCCAAGAAGACTATTGGCGAGAGCTGGAGGCCAAGTGCAAACGGCAAAAGGCGGAAGCAGCCGAGAAGAGACGCCTGCAGGAGCAGAGGCTGCAGGCGCTGGAGAGGCGGCTTTGGGAGGAGAACAGGAGGCAAGAGCTCTTGGAGGAGGAGGGCGAGGAAGAGGAGGGCGAGGGGGAGGAGCTGCAGCTAGAGGCGGAAACGGGGCAGCGGCGGAGCCTGGAAGCGCAAGGTCGGCCGGAGCCGGAGCGGAGGGCGCGCGAGGAGCGCGAGCGCCTGGAGGCCGAGGCCCAGCGGCTGGAGGAGAAGCTGCGGCAGCGCCAGCGGGAGGAGGAGGAGGACAGAAAACGCGCTGAGGAGCTGCGAAGGCAGCAGGAGGAAGAGGAGAGAAAACGCGCCGAGGAGCTCCGAAGGCAGGAGGAAGAGGAGAGAAAACGGGCCGAGGAGCTCCGAAGGCAGGAGGAAGAGGAGAGAAAACGGGCCGAGGAGCTCCGAAGGCAGGAGGAAGAGGAGAGAAAACGGGCCGAGGAGCTCCGAAGGCAGGAGGAAGAGAGAAAACGGGCCGAGGAGCTCCGAAGGCAGGAGGAAGAGGAGAGAAAACGGGCCGAGGGGCTCCGAAGGCAGGAGGAAGAGGAGAGAAAACGGGCCGAGAAGCTCCGAAGGCAGGAGGAGGAGAGAAAACGGGCCGAGGGGCTCCGAAGGCAGGAGGAGGAGGCGACGAGGCTCGGGGAGGAGCTGAGCGGGCGGGAGGAAATGGCGCAGAGGCGGCAGGAGGAGGAAGGGCCTGCGGAAGAGGTTCAGCTCGAGCTGGAGGACAGAAGGGGCCCGCGGAGCCCGCTTCAGACTGACCTTGAGGAGACGCCGGAAGACCAAGAAAACGCAAAAGCCAAAAGGCAAAGAGAAATCCCCGGGGAGCAGAGCCCAGAGGCCGAGCCCGCAGGAGCGCGGCAGGGACAGAGCGCGGAGTTTCCCGGGGACGAGCGGCCCGCGCTTGAGGAGGAGAGAGGAGCAGCGAAAACAGACGCTCCCCAGAGAGGCGAGGGCCGGGTGGGCGACACGCCGCCGCCGGTGGAGAAGAAAGAAGCCGCCGCTCCAGAAAAAGCCCGCAAGGTGGAGGAGCTCAGGTGGCAGGAAGTGGACGAGAGGCAGACCATGCCCAGGCCCTACACGTTCCAGGTGTCCTCGGGCGGGAAGCAGATTCTCTTCCCCAAAGTCAATCTGAGCCCCGTGACGCCCGCGAAGGACGCGGGACTTGTCTCCGCTCCCCGGGAGCCGAAGGCCGCCACGGCCGGCGCGGCCCCCCACGCCCTGCCCTCGTCCCTGAGCATTCCCCACACGGCCATTCTGGTCACGGGAGCGCAGCTCTGCGGCCCGGCCGTCAGCCTCAGCCAGATCAAGGACGTGGCGTGCAAGTCCCTCCTGGGCTTGTCGGAAGAAAGGAAGCACGTGGACGTCCCCGCCGTGGAGCACCCACCCCGCACGCCCGGCGACGCCCGCGCGGGCGGCGGGAAGGCCAGGCCTCCGCCGGAGTGTGCCAGCGGCGCGGCCGCGCTGGCCGAGTGGGCCTCCATTCGGTCCCGGATCCTGAGGAACGCGGAGAGTGACGCGCGCGGCGACGAGCCCGCCCCCAGGGGCCGCTGTGATTCCCGCGGGAGCCTCCGGAAGACGCCGCCGGCCAATGCGAAGTTCTCTATTGTGCCTGCCTGGCAGAAGTTCTCCGAGCCGGGCACGGAAGCTGAAAGCATTAGGAAAAGACCCACAGCGGGACCCGGCGAAGAGACCGCGCCCCCGCCGCCGCCCGCCGGTGCCCCTGAGCTCCGCGAGAGTCCCGAGAAGCTGGAGGTGCACCAGGAGCCGGCAGACACCACAGACGGATGCAAATTTGCCAAAGACCTTCCATCTTTCCTTGTTCCAAGCCCTCCTTACCCTCCGCAGAAGGCAGTGGCCCAGGCACAGTCCCCGACCACTGCGGACGGCGAGACCACCCATGACATAGCAAAGCCAGACCCCGGGATGCCAGGGGGGGAGGAAAAGGCCTCACCTTTCGGAATAAAGTTGAGAAGGACCAACTACTCCTTGCGCTTCCACTGCGACCAACAGGCAGAACAAAAGAAAAAGAAGAGGCACAGCAGCACGGGAGACAGTGTGGAGGGGGGCCCGCCTGCAGGGGGGAGCTCCCAGGGAGAGACAGAGACAGACGGCGGGGCCATCAGGCGCGGCCCGTCCCTTCCCCAAGAGAGGAAGCAGGCCCCAGCCACGCGGAGGGACCCTGCTGAAAGCCCCTCTCCTCCCGCAGCCCAGCCCAGAGCCCCACCCGCCAGCAGCCAGACCCCCGCTCCAGAGCACGACAAGGCAGCGAACAAAATGCCCTTGGCACAGAAGCCAGCCCTGGCTCCCAAGCCCGCCAGCCAGACCCCACCGCCATCCCCACTCTCCAAACTGAGCAGGCCCTACTTGGTGGAGCTGCTGGCTCGCCGAGCGGGGAAGCCCAACCTGGAGCCCAGCGAGCCGGCCAAGGAAGGCCAGCAGAGCAGTGATCCCCAGCCGCCGTCGCCCTCAGCCCCCGAGGAAAGGAAGGGACAGAAGAAAGATGAGGAGGAAGAGGTGACAGAGAGGAAACCTGCTTCCCCACCTCTGTCTGCTGCTGAGCAAGAGAAGCCTTCCCAGACACCTGAGGCTGGGAGGAAAGGTATGTGGCTGCAGGATGGAAGGTTCTGCCTCTGCCCAGCTCATTGTCTGTGTCATTGCTAGAGCCAGAAGTGCCCAAAGCCAGAGGTAGCCAGTGGAGCTGGCGTTGGGCTCCCCTTCGTTAATCAGAGGCTGGTTCGCCATTCCTGAAGGACGCGTGAGTCATAGTGAGGCTCTTTACTTTTTACTCACTCTTTAAGATTTTGGAAATGCTTACTGACTGCAGTGTGTCTGCAGTTCACACCTGGCAATGATACTTCCTTAGACAAGTCGTAAGTTAAAGGTGCTGACACTTAGACTAGACCCCTTGGGGGTCTTGAGTTCCCCCATCGTGGAGTGCGAAGGATGGTCTAGTTTCAAAGCTCCTGAATATACTTTGGCGTGGGTGACTTCACTCTCTTTGGTGCCTCACGTGGAGGTGGGGATCCTCCTCCAGCTTCACAAAATAGTGGCACTAAACTCTCTGATCTCAAAGCGACCTCCACCATGGTGGCGGATTCCACTGGCCTCTCCCCGAGGTGGACTCAGCTATATATAAATAGGGTCTGAACTCCACCTTATGGTCTCATTGTCACATCTTATGCTTCTAAGAGAACCTCTTTAATTATTTGGGTCCCCCCTTTTGTCACTGAATTCCAGTTGAGCCAAAGCCTGGTCCGTGAACATTCCTTTCACAGCAATTTCTCCGAATACCACATCTTGCCTTCACTGTTTTGTCTGTCTTCTTTGACAGTGGTGGATTTCTGCTGGTCTCTGAGATTCTCCAGGCAGCTGGGGGGACAAAGAGTTCTCTTCTCTCATTTTCAAGAAATGTCAAGAGAAGCCCTTGTGTGGCTGTGTGTTTGGGGTAAAACACGTGAGATGAAAGAAGCCCCAGGGCCAGCTTCCATCAGCTGCTCAGACTCTGTCTCCAAAACACCCATCGCCCCAATGCTGCAGCTGCCATCTTTCCTCCTCTCCCTGCCCAGACGTTTCTTTTTTCAAACGGCTTCAGTCAGTTTTTTAGTCGATTATACTTGAAAGGCATTTTGATCCTTCTGATAAACACCAAAGTGGTCGGCAGGAAACTGGCCTTCCCCAGCAAGTTCAGACTGAATGTTTAGTACACATTTCCCTTTTGTGGAATAGCTTTTTATATGGAAATCATTTAGATCGTGGCAGTTTGGTTTTTAGAAGTTGCACAAAGAAGTGCGACAGGGCCTTTGAGTGAAAAACCGGCACTTCCTTAAGTTCCAGTGTATGTAAAGTTTCTCAGTAAAGCAGAATGTTTGCGGTGGTGAATTCTTTTTGATTTTTGGTTCACTAAAGATTAATCAAAAACGCCTTTAAATTTTAGTTTTGTTTTTAAATACCTCTTCAGTGTGTCAGTTTTCTTTCCTGTGTTAGATCACAATTGAATTTTTATTCGATGATTAGGGATATTGCAATGCCCAGAGCTCATTATAAGCATGAATTCTCTTTGTACAGCCTTGTAGATCTAAAGGATACAGAGAAATAAGCAAAATTTGCCATTTTTTTTTTTTTTGCTTGAATTCCTAATTAGAACTTATTTGGTCTTTCCTGTCATCCTGGGGAGGACCCTGTACTGTAAGGTAAGCGCAGGTAGTAAGGTCAGGGACTGTCAAAGTGGAGACTTCTGCTGGATTTCAAAAACAGCGCTATAGTGAGCCCTTGCCCTTTGAGCTAATAAAAGATTCAATACCAGAATGATTACCCCTGAAAGTGCATAATTTTTACTTGAGGGAAAAGAAGGGGACCATTGTCTCATAGGCATAAATAATAAGAACGGGTCACTTTTTTGGAGTGGTTACTATATGCCAGGAACTGTTCTAAATGTTCTCACACCCAGGATCTCTTTTTAGTTTTCATGGCAACTTGATCAGGCATGTGCCATTATCATCTCCGCTTTATAGATTAGAAAACTAAAGCTGAGAGAAGTCAAGTAGCTTTTCTAAGGTTGCAGATGATCAAACCCAGGTCTGCTCAATTTCAAAGCCCAGGACTCAACCTCTGATACCAACCACCTGTGTTTACCCCAGTTGCGCAGGTGAGAGTCAACCGCAAGCAAAGCACAGACTGGAAGTCAGAACACCTGGGTTCCAGCTGCAGCCCGTGTGCTAACTGCTGAGTGACCTTGGGCACAGGTGTTGATGGCTGTGGGCCCTACTGCTCGCATCTGTCCGGTGAGGCCAGGGGAGCAAAATCATGGGTCTCCCCCCGGCCCACCCAGGTTCCTCAGAGCCTTGCTTCCCTCAGCAGCCCCTTAGGCAGAACAGCACCCTTTTTTCATCCTTCAAACACTGGGGTTCCACATAGCATGTTGTCTGGAGGATAAAAGGTTCCATTGCTAAAAATAGATTCCATTAAAGCAAGGAATTAAAAAAAAAGAACAGCGAACCAAATAACTGTCTGGATCCCCTCTAGCCGTAAGATTTTACGACACTGGAGATACTACTTTTTTCTTACAAAGTACAGGAACTTCTTCCATTTCTAGGGAAGAGAAATGCCCGTTTTTCTGTTGGTCAAAGATGTTACCTTCCCATCCAGTGGTCACTCAGGCATCGGCGCAGAGTGTAGGAAGGTACAGCTGAATATTTCCTAGGCTTATTAATACGCCACAGGCTTGAGGGCGTGTGGAACTGAGATAGGTCAGCAGTTAATTTCACTGCGAATCTGCTTTCGTCCTTCCCCCCTCAGAGAAGCCGTTGCTTCAGAGCAGGCACTCTTTGGATGGCTCCAGACTTACGGAGAAAGTGGAAACTGCACAGCCCCTGTGGATCACGTTAGCGCTGCAAAAGCAAAAGGGGTTTCGGGAGCAGCAAGCAACTCGGGAGGAGAGGAAGCAGGCCAGAGAGGCCAAACACACAGAAAAGCTCTCCAAAGAAAATGTGAGTGCCTGTTCTTCCACTTTAACGTTGCCTGCCTGAGTTTGGCTCTCTTCCAGGTCACAAGGATTCAAAACAAAACAAAACAAAACAAAAGGCTAGATGGGGGTGGTGGAGAATTCTTAGAAAGGCGAGGGCAGTAAATAAGCCAGGTAAGCACTTTCAGTGTGAACTTTGACGTGGTTTCATTATGGTCTTAGCTTAACCTGACTTGGCAAAATCCATCACATATTTATCGCAGTGATACTAATAGTTACATGACAAATATGAAAGTGATTTCATTTGAGCATTGGGTTGAGAGGAAATTAGGAGCCTTGTCCTGTGGCCTGGTTTTTAGTCAGTTCGATGGGGCTCATGTGGGAAAGTAACTTTCCCTCGTTGGCACATGGCGCTTATCTGCTCCCTCGGCGACCTGGGTTGAGCACACGTGGCTCACAAGTCCAGTCCAGTCCTGCTTTTGGGAACGGAGGTCAGGGACTGGCGGGCAGAAGCCCCTGAGGCCCGCAGGGCCATTCTTTCCATGGCTTCAGTTGAAAACACGCTTTGCCTGACTGTCTCTGCCCGCTCAGGTCAGTGGCAGCCTGCAGCCTGCGAGCGGCAGTGGCAGCCGAGCAGGTTCCCTGCAGAAGCCCACCGCTCCGCCAGAAGAGAGGAAGCCTGAGACTGCAGCGTCCAGGCTCGAGCGCAGAGAACAGCTGAAAAAGGCCAACACTCTTCCGACGTCTGTGACAGGTAGGACAGGTCCATTTCTATTCAACTGCAGTTACAAGTTTCTCCGCTTAGCGCGTGCTTCATTTCCTGCAGTGCAGTAACTAGCGCAGCGCCTCAGGCCTGGCAAAGCCCGGGCCGTCTGACAGGCTCATTCGTAACCTTTGACACTGATAAAGCTCATGTGATAGAGACCACCAGGAACCTACCAACGGTCCAGTGGTGAGATGGTAAACGTTCAAAAATCAGCCCTTCAGGGAGTAGCATTTTCTGTTTCCCATGGTGTAAATACTCCCACCATGGCCAAATTTGCGAATATCTAACCAGGCAGCGTGAACCATCTCCAGCACCCCACTGCCTGTGTTCTGACAAAATTACATTCATTGACTTACTACAGCAAGGGAGAGCACGTGCCAGAACCTTCTAAACAAAGGAAGAGACAGATTTTTAATGGGATTTAAAGATTTAATAGGATTTGGGGGAAAGGGTGAAGTTTAGGTAAAGTTTAAATAGAGCAGCATTTTGATAAGCTCAAAGCAAAGCAAGGGTGTACGTAAAGGAGTTAACGTCCAGCCTGAGCCAAAAAGTATACCCAGGGTCCTGTTTCCTTTGAAATTACGAAGTTAAGATAAATGTGTGAAATATTTAAGGTGATGGATATCCCAGTTGCTCCGATTTGATCATTCACACACACATATCAAAATATCACATGTACCCTAAAAATAGTACAACTATGTCAGTATGTCAATTAAAAAATACAAAAAAAGATAAATGTATGAAATATTGTATCTGAAAACCTCTACCTGGAGCTCTGCACATAAGTTGGAGGTGGAATCTTCATCTCGTATCTTGGTGACCCTCGTGGCTCAGATGCTCCGAGCAGAAGTCAGATGGTCCGTTCTCGCTGACGTGATTTCAGACAGCAAGTTTCTGACAGCCTGTGACCTGACAGAGTGCGGTTTCTCAGCACCGTGTCCTTGATGTTAATTAACAACAGCAATTTTTATGTGTTCCTAACACACAAGAGATGTACACATTTAAAAAAAAAATTCTTTATTCTGTTAAAAGAAAATGATCCAATGGTTCCCAACTATTTCCTTATTACAGATCACGTGGAGGATGGACAGGTCTGAACAGCCTCCCTCCCAGGGGTTATTAGGGTATCTGTTTTCCCCCACGAGGCTGCACACTTCCCCAGGGGGCACGCAGCCCCCAGATCCAGGCTTCTCTATGCCTTAGTTACCTGCTGCCTGAGGTCTGGAGATAAAAAGTCTCATCACTGTTAAAGATATATTTATTATTTGGAGAAGAGGGGAACGTTTATATTTGAAAATCACTTTAGAATGCAGTGTAATTTCTCAAGGGCCTCCATAGACATTATTTAATTTGATCTTACTTACAGGAATTAAGGGTTCTAAATGTAAAGAGAGAATTTCTTTCAAAATAAAGTGAAAACTCCAAAGTCAAAGAGGTCACAACTTTCTCTGCCAGATTACTTGGAAGTACTAAAGGTTTAATGCAACTCAGACTGGTTCCAACTTAATAAAGCCCTTGTTCTGAAGTATTTGTCTTTTTAGTCAGTATTTTCTGAGTTCTAGAAGCGTGTGTGTAGGCTGTTGCCACGGGCACTAAATATGACTCAAAGATGAGAACCCTCTGAACTTAAGAAGCCTGTAAGCTCTGGTGAAGAAAGGGTACGACGCAAAGAATCGTGAGACTAGAGTGGAAGTCATGAGAGCCAGCAGGACCCGTGGGACTCGGTGGCAGAGGGGCCCGGGGTGTGCTTTGTGGTGTGGGGAGTAGCTTTAATCTCACCAGCTTGACAGATCGGACTGCCGGCTTGAGCTTTTTCTTCATGGGATTCACTGGTGGCATGACTAGATTCACAAATTTACCTTTAGTTCTTGTCATTATGCAGGTATATCTTCTATGTATAGAAAATGAGGCTTCTAGAAATTCTTTGAGATGAGAACTGCCTGCCTGTTGAGCACTGCAGTACCGTACGCAACGGTTGCAACCACAGCCTGCTTCCCCTGGCCCTTCTCACTGAAGGTGCCCAGGAACTTGCCTCTAGCGTTTCACTGGGTTTTCCTTTTTGAATCTCGTATCTCTGATAAATCAAAATGTGGTTGGGGGAAGTGTCGGGGAGAAAAGATACAAAATTTCAGTTAGATAAGACGAGTAAGTTCAAGAGGTCTGTTGTACAACATGGTGACTATAGTTAATATAGCGGATTGTTGAAAAACACTGAGAGGGCAGATTTTAAATGCTCTCACGACAAAAATGATAACTCTGTGATGTAACGCACATGTTAATTAGCTAGATTTAGCTATTTCACAATGTATATATGTTTCAAAACATCACATTTCTTAACGTCGTTCTGACTTAACCTCCTTTCTCCTTTTCCTTCAAAACAAAATCCAGTGGAGATCTCCGACTCGGCTCCCCCGTCACCGCTGGTGAAGGAAGTCACCAAGAGGTTCTCCACCCCAGACGCTGCCCCCGTGTCAACAGAACCAGCCTGGCTGGCTTTGGCCAAAAGGAAAGCGAAGGCCTGGAGCGACTGTCCGCAGATCATCAAGTAAAGAGCGACTCTTGCCCTTTCCTGTCGCCGGTTATTGGCTCCTCTCTTGCCCTTTTTATTTATTTATTTTTTATATGAGGTAAAGAAACCAAGCTAGGGAAAAGAAGCATGTTTTACGGGCTCTAAAATAACGTTAAGAAACGGAACCGGTGGCGTTCATTGTAAAGAGTGTTTGCACAACCCTCGGTGCTGGTGCCTTGAGCTCCTCCTCGTTCTCAAGAGAAGATTCCGTCCAAGGGACCCCAGGAAGCAAAATCTCTAAACTAAGATCTCCTCGTGAGCCTGCCGTGCCCATTCCGTGGCCCTTCCACGTACACACCCACGTACCGTTCAGAACACATACTTTTGCCAGTCTTTGTAATGGTTTTTTGATTCTCTAATTTCTTTTGTCCAGAATAGTTACCCCACCATATGTTTGGGGATGTTTATCCTTTCTGCAGTGACAGCAAAAGGATCATGTGTAGACAGAAACGAGAATGCCCGTTCTCCTGAATGCAGCGAGTACCTGGGAATCACAGGAACAGTCTGGCTCCCAACTCCGTGCCCACGTCCGTTTGGATGAATTTTGCCCACCCTGAAGCTGTAACACAGCAGACAGATCCATCCACACTTCACCACACGGTGGATCCAGTGCGAGGCCCCGTTAGACCAATACCCTCCTTAAGGACGTGCGAAGTATTTGGCCCAGTTGGCTCCCAGGGAACGTTTGTATTTAATATGGTGGAGAAAGGGAGTTCTTCATCAGAGCCACAAGTTCTCTTTCTGCCTCCGAAAATCCCCATCTAGTGCGGAGATTGTTAAGATGGCCAGGCTCCGTCCCAGGCCACTGAGTCAGAGCCTTTAAGGATGGGGTCGGAATGTATGTTCTGGGAGAAACTCTTCAGATGAATTCTGATGTATCCCAAAAGTTAAGAACCTTGGAATAGACTGATTCTGATGTAATCTAGTTTTTTAGCCGCTGAAGGGGAGGCTCATTCACCCAAAAAGCAAAAGTGAGACAGGAAAAATAATAAAACAGCCCCCTAAACCAGCCATTTATTACAAGAAACAACAGGCTGTTGACATTACATGTCTCTGAAAATTCCCTTTGCTCTTTAGGGAAAATTAACAGGAAGCCAAGATTTGGAGTTTTTGTACTAACGACTTCCCACAGAAAGATTTTTCTTTTTACTATAATTTAGAGTCAAATGTTCGGCATTTATAATTTAGAGCATTCACCTTGCTACCTTTAAAAAAAAATCTGTTTTAAGTGGCCTTGTTATTATCATACACATGTGCATACAAAGAACGAACTCGACAGTTGAAAAGCTACATGTATTTGCTTTTATTTAATCTGCTTTTCATGAAACATAGACATCCCAGAAAACCCACATATTGCTGTACTAACTTTATATTTCATAGTGTTGGCATAACCCCTTTTCTTAGATTCTTTACTCCAAAATACAGGTACAAATCCTTTGCCAGTGCAAAGAGAATTAAATCCATTTTCCTCTCCTTCAAAACATGTTTTATTTGTATCTGTCACTACTTTCCTTCACGCTCACTCAATATGCAATGTCCTGTTATTCTATCATATACCTTAAGAGAAGGATGACAGCGAAGTTGTTTACCATAGAGAAACCGTCTCTCATCTCCTTCTAGAAACAATGGCCCAGCCTCACTGTAGCAGCCGGCATGTGTGGCCAAGTGGATAGTCGCACTCTGCAAGTTGGATTTAATATTATATATACTGGACCTTCAGACTGTTAAGAATCAATGTAACTTTTTTTATTGCTATGGTAAGCAATTAATATTCCACCGCACGTTTTCCATGCTAATGTTCATTTCTAAATGTAATATATAGGCATTTGTTGGTTCTAATGATTTCCTCACTACTGTAACACTTTTTAATAGGAATCTTTCCACCGAGAGCCCTGGAATTACAGTGCTACAGCAATTCTTCTGAATTGACTTTTTCTTTCTTCCTGTCAGCCTTGTACAACATCACAGTGATGGCAGGGGACAGGTGAGGAAATAAGATTATTGACAAAGAATGGTAGCTGAGTCACGGCTGAACTGGCTCAGATACCACTGAGCCCATGCAAAGTGGGAGAAATAACCTCAGTTAAATATTTTCCATCAAAGTCTTTAAAAGAAGAGCATACCGAAGAAAGGGCAGTCACGGTACCTACTTCTAACAACTTCTAAAAGGTACATGTTTAACATTTCATTTAAAAATCACCCCAAATTTGCACTAAATACCAATGAAGTGTTATTTTGCTTTAGTTGTGTTGCAGTCTTTTTCTGAGCAACAAACCATGGGGAAATTCTGTAAAAACATATGAAAAGTTCAAGACTTTTTTTTTTTTAATGATTTCTGTGTTAAGTACACAAACTTTTTTTTTAAATTTCAACAAACATACATTTCTCCTGGCAAGGTTATAGATGATTAACCTCTGTTCATAGACTTATATATAAAACTAGAGTTTTTTGTTTACTTTTTTAATTTTTCAAGTGCAATTGTTTCTTACACAAACATTATTACTATTATTTTAGCCAGTTATCTGCAAATGTATAGTACGTATTGTCTCTTCTTGTGACGTTTAGTTTGCTTATTTTAAAGCAGAAACATTACTGTCTTGCAGTATTTTTACCAACAGTAAAAATTAAGTAGACTTCATGAAAATATGTTAGTGTGATTTTAATATTATTTTGAGATTTTGGTTGTATAAAGTTTTAATGTAAAATGTTCATTATTGAAGGGAAAAGATCTTTCAATAAAAAATACCCACAAAATCTTTGGCACTGATGGACTTTGATTTTGATGAACCATCTACAAACCATCTCATTATAATATTTACATAGCTTGTGTTGAATAAGAAAAAGTTCAAGGTGTTTTATATGGTACTTTATTTCTCACTAGATATTTTTGGAGAAAAATAATGAACAGGGGCAATTAAATGTTTGTCTCAATCCCCAATTGGAATTGAACAGTTGGAGTCTCAGACAAAATGATCCTGCAGCCTCCTTAGAGCTAGAGTGTGGGCCATGGACCAGCAGCACAAGCAACACTCAGAGCGTGGGAAATGCAGCTGATGGCCACACACTGCACACACAGGGCCGGACCAGCGTGAAGTGAGTCCCACTGTCTGCTGGTTGTAAGCTGGAGACCCAGGAAAGCTGGTGACAGTACAGTTCAGCCCAAGGCCAAAGGCCTGAGAACCAGAGGAATCACTGGTGTAAGCTGCAGAGTCTGAAAGCCTGAAAACAGGAGTTCCGAAGTCCAAGGTTAGGAGCACGAGGCTATCTCAGCAAGAAGGGAGAGAATTTGCCCTTTCTCCACCTTTTTGTTCTATTTAGCCCTCATCAGATTGAATGATGCCCAACCACACTGGCATAGTAGTGAGGGAGGGTCTTCTTTACTCAGTCTACTGATTCAAATTCAAATGCTAATCCCTTCCAGAAACATCCTCATAGACACACCTAGACATAATGTTTTACCAGCTATCTGGGCATCCCTCCTCCCAGTCAAGCTGACAGATTAAATTAACAATCACACCTAATTAAAGAAGGTGCTACCAAATATATTGGTATGTTTTTTTTCCTAATTCCTGAAAAGTTTTGTTCCTCCTACAGGAAGTAAAATATGGCTGTCCTCCAATAAAGCATAGATAAGTTTCAATTTCTTAATCAAATTATAATCTTTAATATAAGACTATCTACATGCTCTACAATGGTAAAATATTTTCAAGTGTCTCACAGATATACATTAAAAGGACTGTTCCTGATTATTTTTTATTGCCACCCAATAAATCCAGACAATAAACGTAATTATTTCTACACCCAATAATGAGCATTGATTCCCAGACCACAGGAGAAGAGAAGACTTCGCCAGGAAGTTCATATACACTTTGCAGTTGTCCAGTCTGAGAATCCAAGACCCACAGTTTCCCATCTGTAGATGCTGCTGCCAGCAACATTTCATTGCTCTGACTTTGGTTATGGAAAACAAACGGTGTTGCATACACCCTTGAAGTAGTTTCAAATTTCCATTGGAGGTGACCTTCCATGTTACAACAGTAGATAAAGCAATCATGGGAACCAAAAAATACGTCTTGCTCTGATGCTGAGGTACATGGGGATGAAAAGATTGGTCCACTGGTAGAAAACTGCCAAACCTACACAGAGTAATAAAATAAAAAATCATTCATTCATCTAATTGCTACAATTCTTCCTTAAAGCACTATGGGTTCTTAACACAAATCTAAGAGATGGTATAGGCTATCTGAATGGTAACTACACACAGAGAAAATGGCTTTTCCTGAAAGTATCTCCTCATATTAGACCTCTGTCCTAGTGGCAAAATCCAGGAAAAAATACACTGGCATGTTATTATTGCATGATTCAATGCTATGCATAACATTATGAGGTAAAATTAATTTTGAACCCCATTCAAGAGTTATTACTAGTGTGTTCAGAGACTGAGTTCAAAGATAAAACTGCATTGAGTTTTCAATGTATCTATTAAAAACTATCTTACTCTATTCTCTAAATGTAGGAAAAAGGAAGTAAAGGGGCTGAAAGGAAGAGTTTGTACGTAATAAATCAGAGCTTTAAACAAAGAGCTGTGAGTTGTGTGTCTGCCCTGTGAATATATATATACTATTAGCTTATTGCAAAGCTTCTACAGATAAACCTGTTGGCTAATATTTTGAGACACAAGGAAGAAAAGACATAAGTCTAAGGTATTATGTACAAATGCACAGAAACCATAGCATAACGGAAAACAAAACAGACGCCATGTTCGTGAAACAGGATTCGTAATCTCCGTTCTGTCCCTGACTTGGACAAAATCACATTCATCTTTCTGTAGCTCATCCAAAAAAATACAGTAATAGCATTTGCCTCTTCATACTTCTCAAGAATCTAAAGGTAAGAATATATTCAAACTACTTTGTAAATAAAAGCATTAAGTGAATAAAAGGTTTCATCAAAGTAATTTAAAATCATTGTGACACGGAGCAAAAGGACCTGCTACACCTGGAGGAGTAAACAGACGAAAAAGCATTCAGAATCAACCCCGGGCGTCCAAGGGCTGACTTCTGCTGGAGCTGGCGCGCTCTCGAATCCACAGAATCATCCCTCAAATCAAGCACACGCGCCACTGGTCCCACAAATGACAGGCACTTGCAGAAGCTTAAGGAAGTGGAGATTGTGCTCCCAGTGGGAGACACAGGACAACCGAGGAGCCTTCCCCGCCGGTCACGGAGCTGAAGGACGGGGCCTCCACACGATGGAATTTCAGCTGCACGACAGAGCTGGGTTCTCAGTTCAAAAAGCAGGGGCTGGAGGAGCGCTTCGAGGAGGTTGAGCAGAGCCATCAGGTATGCGACTCTCCCGTAAATAGGAACCACAATAGCAAGCAGATAATCACACCTCAAATAGGTTGTCTCAGGGAGAACACGGGGACTCAACAGAGAAGTGACAGGAAAAACCCAAACACGAGCAAGGCGCGGGAAGCGCGCCAGCCCGCCGCGCTGGGCTCAGTGGGGGAAAGGGTGAGCACGCAACCCCAGTGACCCGCACGGCCGCCACAGGAGAGCCCCGGACCCTCGGGGCCGGCGACTAGCAAGGAGCTGCCCGAGACCACATGAAAGCCGTGCTCCGGCGAGGAAGCTTACGCGGGTCCCACGCGCTCCTAACGCAGGCGTCGTACTGGCGGCCCCGCCCCGGACTGCGCCTTGCCGGGAGGCCCAGCCCCTGCGTCTCCACGTCTCCGCAGCGCCGGGACCTGCTCCGTGTGCAGCCACCCCTGCGGCTGGCCGCCGCCTCCAGAGCTAAAGCGCAAGCCGTTGGCAAGGACCCCGCTGCCACCAGCAGGGAAGATGCTGCCCGTTTTCATGCGCTTCGAGGTCAAGGTCAAGCTCCCCCACCCGCAGCAGCTGCCGCAGTGCGAAGCGGGCGCCCTCCCGCTGCCTGCGTCAGCCACTGCCCACCCTGCCTGAGCACTGGGCGCTGGGCTTGGGGACCGTCCCGCCCCTGCCTCCCGCAGCCAGAGCCTGCACACGCTACAGGAGGCCCTGAGGGTAGGGTAAGTCCATCCGGCCCAGCGCCGCCCGCCACCGGGCCTGAGCAGAGTCCCAGGGAACAGCCAGCCCGGTCCGCCCCGCCGGCACCTGGACACTCCTGCTGCGGGCCCGAGGTTGGGCCCACCCAACCTGCCACTACCGCCACAGCGGGGGCCCACCCGCACATGCCAGCTGCGGGCCTAGGACCCGGCCTGTCGCAGCTACCAACACCACCAGCACGGACTCCTTGGGACCCAGAGGTTAGTGCTGCCACTGCTGCTGCCATCAACCGTGCCACCCTGCTGCCAGGGGCCCGGGAACCCACCCGGCCCACCGCTGCCACTAGCAGCACCCAATCAAGCCGCCTGGAGGCCCGAGAACTGGCTTGCTGGGACCCACTAATAACGGTGCCAGTGCAGCTGCCCTGAGGCCGAAGACAGGCACGCTTGGCCCACTGCTGCCACTACTGAGGCCCCCAAACAGGCCCGCGTGGTGCCCCTAGACCCAGCAAAACTTCAAACAGCCGCCACTAACAACTGCCCCCCAACCCACTGAGGAAATCGTAGACGCCACTGTTGGGACTTACGGCCTGAGAAATCACACAAGACCATACGACTGCGTGTGCCCAGAGTCCAAGCTGCAGCCCACACGGCGGACACAGCTTCAGGAAGCAGCTCCCTGAGAAAGCAAGTCTGAAAACCTGCGAGAATCAACCCTCACACCAGACGTTCAGAAATCAACGTAAGCACATAAGAAACGCGGAAAAGGAAATAGGACATCTTCAGAGGAACACAATAATTCTCCAGCAACAGATTCCAATCAAAAATAAATTTATGAAATCTCAGACAAAGAATTTAAAATATCGATAGCAAAGAAGCTCGATGAGGGGGCCGGGTGCAGTGGCCCACATCTGTAATCTCAGCGCTCTGTCAAGCTGAGGTGGGAGGATCACTCAAGGCCAGGAGTTCAAGACCAGCCTGAGCAACACAGAGAAACCCCATCTCTACAAAAAATTAAAATATTAGCTGGG